ACGTGTAGCCTTCAGTCACTTCTACAACACGTGTAGCCTTCAGTCACTTCTACAACAAGTGTAGCCTTCAGTCACTTCTACAACACGTGTAGCCTTCAGTCACTTCTACAACAAGTGTAGCCTTCAGTCACTTCTACAACAAGTGTAGCCTTCAGTCACTTCTACAACAAGTGTAGCCTTCATAGTAGTCATCATTCTACACAGATGTAGCCTTCAGTCACTTCTACAACAAGTGTAGCCATCAGTCACTTCTACAACAAGTGTAGCCTTCAGTCACTTCTACAACAAGTGTAGCCTTCAGTCACTTCTACAACAAGTGTAGCCTCAGTCACTTCTACAACACGTGTAGCCTTCAGTCACTTCTACAACAAGTGTAGCCTTCAGAGTCACTTCTACAACAAGTGTAGCCTTCAGAGTCACTTCTACAGCAGATGTAGCCTTCAGAATCACCTCTAAAACAGGTGTAGCCATCAGTCACGTCTACAACAACTGTAGAGGAGAGAGAACCGGAGTGAAGGTCACTGTGACCCTCCTGATATAATTACTGTACGGAAATTACCTGTCAATGTTATTTACTCAGGTCTCACTGCAGGTCCTGTCACCACTGTGTTGTCACCACTGTGTTGTCACCACTGTGTTGTCACCGCTGTGTTGTCACCGCTGTGTTGTCTCCGCTGTGTTGTCTCCGCTGTGTTGTCTCCGCTGTGTTGTCACCGCTGTGTTGTCTCCTCTGTGTTGTCACCGCTGTGTTGTCTCCGCTGTGTTGTCTCCCTGTGTTGTCCCCTGTGTTGTCTCCGCTGTGTTGTCACCGCTGTGTTGTCTCCGCTGTGTTGTCTCCGCTGTGTTGTCTCCGCTGTGTTGTCTCCTGTGTTGTCCTCTGTGTTGTCTCCGCTGTGTTGTCTCCTCTGGTTGTCTCCGCTGTGTTTGTCTCCGCTGTGTTGTCCCTCTGTGTTGTCTCCGCTGTGTTGTCTCCGCTGTGTTGTCTCGCTGTTGTCTCCTCTGTGTTGTCTCCTCTGTGTTGTCTCCTCTGTGTTGTCTCCTCTGTGTTGTCTCCTCTGTGTTGTCTCCTCTGTGTTGTGTTCCTCTGTGTTGTCTCCCTGTGTTGTCTCCTCTGTGTTGTCTCCTCTGTGTTGTCTCCTCTGTGTTGTCTCCTCTGTGTTGTCTCCTCTGTGTTGTCTCCTCTGTGTTGTCTCCTCTGTGTTGTCCCTCTGTGTTGTCTCCTCTGTGTTGTCTCCTCTGTGTTGTCTCCTCTGTGTTGTCTCCTCTGTGTTGTCTCCTCTGTGTTGTCTCCTCTGTGTTGTCTCCTCTGTGTTGTCTCCTCTGTGTTGTCTCCTCTGTGTTGTCTCCTCTGTGTTGTCTCCTCTGTGTTGTCCTCCGTGTGTTGTCTCCGCTTGTTGTCTCCGCTGTGTTGTCTCCGCTGTGTTGTCTCCGCTGTGTGTCTCCGCTGTGTTGTCTCCGCTGTGTTGTCTCCCTGTGTTGTCTCCGCTGTGTTGTCTCCGCTGTGTTGTCTCCGCTGTGTTGTCTCCTCTGTGTTGTCTCCTCTGTGTTGTCTCCTCTGTGTTGTCTCCTCTGTGTTGTCTCCTCTGTGTTGTCTCCTCTGTGTTGTCCCTCCTGTGTTGTCTCCTCTGTGTTGTCTTCCCTCTGTGTTGCTCCTCTGTGTTGTCTCCTCTGTGTTGCCTCCTCTGTGCTGCTCCTCTGTGCTTGCCCCTCTGTGCTGCCCTCGTGCTGTCCCTCTGTGCTGTCACCTCTGTGCTGTCACCTCTGTGCTGTCACCTCTGTGCTGTCACCTCTGTGCTGTCACCTCTGTGCTGTCACCTCTGTGCTGTCACCTCTGTGCTGTCACCTCTGTGCTGTCACCTCTGTGCTGTCACCTCTGTGCTGTCACCTCTGTGCTGTCACCTCTGTGCTGTCACCTCTGTGCTGTCACCTCTGTGCTGTCACCTCTGTGCTGTCACCTCTGTGCTGTCACCTCTGTGCTGTCACCTCTGTGCTGTCACCTCTGTGCTGTCACCTCTGTGCTGTCACCTCTGTGCTGTCACCTCTGTGCTGTCACCTCTGTGCTGTCACCTCTGTGCTGTCACCTCTGTGCTGTCACCTCTGTGCTGTCACCTCTGTGCTGTCACCTCTGTGCTGTCACCTCTGTGCTGTCACCTCTGTGCTGTCACCTCTGTGCTGTCACCTCTGTGTTGTCACCTCTGTGTTGTCACCTCTGTGCTGTCACCTCTGTGCTGTCACCTCTGTGCTGTCACCTCTGTGCTGTCACCTCTGTGCTGTCACCTCTGTGTTGTCACCTCTGTGTTGTCACCTCTGTGCTGTCACCTCTGTGTTGTCACCTCTGTGCTGTCACCTCTGTGTTGTCACCTCTGTGTTGTCACCTGAGATCCTAGTAGCATTACTGTTTAGAAAATTTCCTAGGGGACTGATTTCTCAAAGAAAAAAAAAATCATCTTTGGCCAGTCAAAAAAAAAAAAAATCTTACTGTCGCCAAAAATGCTAATCTTGTCAGAAATCTTTCTCCCGCCAAAAATCTTTCCCCAGCTAAAAATCTTTCTCCCGCCAAAAAACGCACCTTTTGCCAGGATTCTTCTGCCGTCAAAATCCTCCTCCCGCCGAAATATTTTCCCCGCAGAAAATTATCCTCCCGCAAGAGCCCTCATCCCGCCAAATATTTTCTCCTGCCCAGACCTTCCTCCCGCCAACTTGAGTGTCAGTAATCCCAACTTGAGTTGCCTTCAGTGCTGAGGTCAGCACCAGCACTCAGCACACATTGTATCCTCAGTGCTGAGGTCAGCAACACTCAACACACACTATATCCTCAGTGCTGATGTCAGCACCAGTACACAATGTATCCTCAGCGCTGAGGTCAGCACTCAGCACACTATCTTCAGTGATGAGGTCATCACTCAGCACACACTATATCCTCAGTGCTGAGGTCAGCATCATCACTCACTGTATCCTCAGTGCTGAGGTTAGCACCAGTACACACTGTATCCTCAGTGCTGAGGTTAACACCAGTACACACTGTATCCTCAGTGCTGATGTCAGCACCAGTACACACTGTATCCTCAGTGCTGAGGTCAGTACTCAGCACACTATATCCTCAGTGCTGAGGTCAGCAACACTCGGCACACACTATCCTCAGTGCTGAGGTCCACACCAGCACTCAGCATACACTGTATCCTCAGTGCTGAGGTCAGCACCATCACTCACTGTATCCTCAATGTTGAGGTTATTACCAGTACACACTGTATCCTCAGTGCTGAGGTCAGCACCAGTACACACTGTATCCTCAGTGCTGAGGTCAGCACCAGTACATACTGTATCCTCGGTGCTGAAGTCAGCACCAGTACATACTGTATCCTCGGTGCTGAAGTCAGCACCAGTACACACTGTATCATCAGTGCTGAGGTCAGCACCAACACTCAGCACACACTACATCCTCAGTGCTGAGGTCAGCACTCCGCACACACTATATCCTAAGTGCTGAGGTCAGCACACACTGTATTCTCAGTGCTGAGGTCAACACCAGCACTCAGCATACACTGTATCCTCAGCGCTGAGGTGAGCACCACTCAGCACACACTGTATCCTCAGTGCTGAGGTGAGAACCAACACTCAGCACACACTGATCCTCAGGGATGAGGTCAGCACTCAGCACACACTATCAACCACCATTCCTCATGAATGAGTCCTGGTGGTTGGTTCCCTTCATGTATCCAACTTAAACAATGTATCCTCAACATGAATATCCCATCCTTTCCATGTATCCTACCTTCCTCAATGTATCCCACCTTGCATGCATCCCTTCTATTATATGTATCCCACCCTCTTCAGAGCATCCCACTACATGCCATGTATTCTACTCTCCTCCATATATCCTGCTCATACTAACGCCGTCTAGCACTGAGCACGCAAAGCATCCCCTGCTTCCCATTGGAGAAGTTTTGTATGTCTGCCAAGCCTCCGGATCTCTTAGGGAGTGATTTCGGTGCGCAGATTTGGGACCAAGCCAGTTAGATAGGCAGAGTAAATTAATTTTATGAGTCTAGAAAGTTTATAAGGGCAAGAGAGGGCTGAAAGTGTGCAGAGTGTAGTGACGGCAGACCAGCAGCCTGGGGAAGGTAGACCAGCAGTGTGGGGATGGCAGACCAGCTGCCTGGGGATGGGACACCAGCAGCCTTGGGATTTGAGACCAGCAGCGTAGGGATGGAAGACCAGTAGCGTGGGGATGGCAGACCAGCAGCGGCCTGGGGATGGCAGACTAGCGGCCTGGGGATGGCAGTGCTGCCCTCCACCAACATTACCGCTACATTTAATTTTATTGTTGGTGCCGATAAAATATTTTATTATAACATTTACTACTTGCATTTAGTGTTGGTGCAGCCTGGCTGCTACACTACAGCTTCTGTCTGCACATTCCCACACTGGAATCGAGCCAACACACATTTTTCTCTCGCCTGGTGTAGAAGCGACCATTAAATGTGGCGGGCCAAGAGCTTATGGACTCGACTACACACATATTTAGGCTGATACAATAAAGGATTTAAATGGGCCTACTTTAGTGATGGTGATGCGTGTTCTTTCATTTTCGCATTTCCCATCTTTAAACTTTTTTCTGCGACAGTGTTCAACACGTGAGACCATATACCTGTCAATGCCTGCGATCACTTTCAAGAGTTTTGCTTACCCTCTGGACCGGACTTTCTGTTCATTGTCCTTCAAAACAGTTTTAGCTTTTTTTGCCACTAGCCCACTAGCCATCACAGCCTGTTGTTGGATTGCACTTGCAGAGTTCATTTTCCACTCGTGAAACTTCAACATTTGCTCCAGTAATATTTCCTAATACGCTGTTGGTACCATGGTCAAGAGTTCCTTGAAACCACTTCACTTGTGCCCATTGTAACCTATTTTTTCTCTGAGTCTAATTTAACACTTCCTCCATATCTACACCTTCTAGTTCCGTTATACAGTGTATAATTCGGTACTAGGCTTACAAGTTACTTCCATGTAGATATTATCAGACATCTCTCAACTTCCCTCCAGAGAGTACGTTCACATTCCCTGTTCTCTGAGGCATTTCCAGTAGTTTAAATGATGTATTGGCTATAAGGGCAATTACTGCTCGCTGATATATCTCTCTCTTGCCTTGAACGGAGACCTCAACATCGAACAATATTATAAACGAGGGACCATAAGTGATTTGAATAGTGTTACCATTGCTATTATTTCCCTCTGAAAATTCTCATTATCCGCCTAGTATTTTGTCTGGCCTTCCTGGCATTGGCCTTATTGTACTCAAGTGATAGGTCAGCTGACATTATTATAATGAGTCTTTTACACATCTTCCGTTCTGAGATGGTCCTCCTGTGTTTTGTATCCACTGTTCCTTCTGAGATTTTTTTTTATTTCTTTCCATACCTGAGCAGTCGGAATTCTTCACCAGTTAACATCGTGTAATTTTTTAGTGTCCACTTGTTGACATCTGCTTGCAATTTGTCCGTGTCATTTACCGAGTCAACTTTCATGTTTATTTTGATATCATTCGAAAAGGATGATGCGAAGCCGTGACTGATGTATTTACCTATCTGCTATGAGGATGAGAAACAGTAAAGTTGCCAGGACCGTGCCTTTGGGCATTGAACTTTTACCTTTGCTAAGACTACATGTTGTGTTTCATTCGTTAGCAAATTAAGGATAATCTGTCCCACTCTTCTATTATATGTACTGGCTATCTTTAATGCCCTCTCACTCCATGAGAGAATTTGTCAAACGTCTTAGTGAAGACCGTGTAAACCACATCTTCGTTCTGGTTTTCTTCCAGAGCCTCCGTAATTTTGTGATAATGGTCAAGCAGTTGTTACAAGTACGATCTTCCCACTCTATATCCTTGCTGACTTGCACATACACACAACCCACACACAGGAGAATGAAACTAATGACGGACCGCAACGTCGTCACAAGTTTCATTCTCTTATGTGCGGGTAATTTGCGTTTTGTTCCAGTCACGGTATTTTTGACTTTCTATTCATATTGACCTGGGTTATGCAGGTCATTGTTTCTATATTTTGTTTTAATTTGGCGTCTTATCAACTTCTCAAGAAATTTAATGTGTGATATTAGTGCTACTGGTCTACAATTGCTTTGCCAGAGCTCTATTGCTTTCTTGTGCAGAGGAGTTACCTACCTGGAAGGTGTTTCGGGGGTCAACGCCCCCGAGATCCGGTCCATGATCAGGCCTATCTCAACATTTCTGAATGACTGTTCTTTCTCCAAGGAATGAGTGCTAGTGCTACTGGTCGATGCTAGTAGTATTTAGTATGCCAAGCTATGTACAGTGCCTGTTTTCAAGAGGAAACTGGACCGCTACCTCTGTTAGGTGCCAAATCAACCAGACTGTCACTGCTATGCAGGCCAGCAGTCCACCAATAACAGCAGCCTAGTTGAAGAGTCAACGAAAGTCCTGGTGCTAGCCCGGGCTGCGAGCGTAAAACTCGTGAAACCAGTCACATGTACCTAACAGGTATAGTCCTGGTTATTCCACTTCCTGACCATTCTGAGATGGATGACACACTTCCTGACGTCCCTGTGACTCATGTGTCCCCAACTGTGCCCTTGTGTACCTGTTTCGTCCCTCCCGAGCAGTCCACTCCTGTGATCTATCCATCCTGTTTATACCTCTGATAACTTAAAGTCGCTGTCGTGTCCTCTTGTGTCATTAGATCTAGTTCCTGTAGTCACCTCCCTGATGAGGGCTCCACACTGGTGCTGCAGACTCAACGATGATCCTGATATATATGACTTTGTTGAAAGTCCTGAAAGCTAAACTTAGCTTAGCAAGACGCGTGGCTGATGTTCATGGTTAACAGGTGTGCTTAAGGTGATAAGCTAGGTGCTATGCTCACCCCGAGGTCTTTCTCTGAGCGAGCTTAAAGCTTTTATCCACCGAGTTTGTATTCACTAGACTTTTCTGCCGCTTCCATATTTTCATGACTATGCATTTACTCGACCCCTGCAACTATATATAGGTGAGCACACACACAGGCACACACAACACACAGACAACACACAACACACACACAACACACAACACACAACACACACACACACACACACAAATACAATACATATACAGTGGTACTCACGTTCCTGCTGCTTATAGTGGGTTGTTTCTGTGACGCCAGCGCCTCATTGTTGTTCTGTAGGAGAGAACAAACATATTTGTTACTACCACAACTAATTCTGAGGCTACTGCTCCTGATGGTGAGTGTGGGTGGTGGTGGTGGTGATGATGGTGATGGTAGAAGTAATTGTGGTAGTTGTGGTAGTGGTAGTGATGGTGGTGGTGGTGATGGTAGTAGCTGTTGTAATGATGGTAGTAGTTGTTGTAATGATGGTAGTAGTTGTTGTAATGATGGTAGTAGTTGTTGTAATGATGGTGGTAGTTGTGGTAGTGATGGTGGAAGTTGTGGTAGTGATGGTGGTAATTGAGGTAGTGGTGGTAGTTAGGTAGTGGTGGTGGCAATTGAGTGTAGGTGTAGTAGGTAGTGGTGGTGGTATTTGTAGTGGTGATGGTGGTAGTTGTGGTAGGTGATGGTGGTAGTGATGGTGGTAGTTGTTGTGGTGATGGTGGTAGTTGTGGTGGTGATGGTGGTAGTTGTGGTGGTGATGGTGGTAGTTGTGGTAGTGATGGTGGTAGTTTGGTGTGGTAGTTGTGATGGTGGTAGTTTGTGTGATGGTGGTATGTGGTGGTGATGGTGGTAGTTGTGGTGGTGATGTGTGATGGTGGTAGTTGTGGTGGTGATGGTGGTAGTTGTGGTGGTGATGGTGGTAGTTGTGGTGGTGATGGTGGTAGTTGTGGTGGTGATGGTGGTAGTTGTGGTGGTGATGGTGGTAGTTGTGGTGGTGATGGTGGTAGTTTGGTGGTGATGGTGTAGTTGTGGTGGTGATGGTGGTAGTTGTGGTGGTGATGGTGGTAGTTGTGGTGGTGATGGTGGTAGTTTGTGGTGGTGATGGGGGTAGTTGTGGTGTGATGGGGTAGTTGTGGTGGTGATGCGGTAGTTGTGGTGGTGATGGGGTAGTTGTGGGTGATGGTGGTAGTTGTGGTGGTGATGGTGGTAGTTGTGGTGGTGATGGTGGTAGTTGTGGTGGTGATGGTGGTAGTTGTGGTGGTGATGGTGGTAGTTGTGGTGGTGATGGTGGTAGTTGTGGTGGTGATGGTGGTAGTTGTGGTGGTGATGGTGTAGTTGTGGTGGTGATAGTGGTAGTTGTGGTGGTGATGGTGGTAGTTGTGGTGGATGGTGGTAGTGTGGTAGTGATGGTGGTAGTTGTGGTGGTGATGGTGGTAGTTGTGGTGGTGATGGTGGTAGTTGTGGTATGATGTGGTAGTGATGGTGGTAGTTGTGGTGGTGATGGTGGTAGTTGTGGTGGTGATGGTGGTAGTTGTGGTGATGGTGGTAGTTGTGGTGGTGAGGTGGTAGTTGTGGTGATGGTGGTAGTTGTGGTGGTGATGGTGGTAGTGATAGGTGGTAGTTGTGTGGTGATGGTGTAGTTGTGATGGTGGTAGTTGTGGTGGGATGGTGGTAGTTGTGGTGGTGATGGTGGTAGTTGTGGGGTGATGGTGGTAGTTGTGGTAGATGGTGGTAGTTGTGGTGGTGATGGTGGTAGTTGTGGTGGTGATGGTGGTAGTTGTGGTGGTGATGGTGGTAGTTGTGGTGGTGATGGTGGTAGTTGTGGTAATGATTCATCTACTTAATAATAAACTTATTATAAATATATGATAAAAAAGTTAAAAATAAAAAACGCTGAAAAAGTCTTAACAAACAACAATACCCACACAAACAACAGAATACCCACACAAACAAAAGCAGAATACCCACACAAACAAACAGAATACCCACACAAACAACAGAATACCCACACAAACAACAGAATACCCACACAAACAATACCCACACAAACAGAATACCCACACAAACAACAGAATACCCACACAAAACAGAATACCCACACAAACAACAGAATACCCACACAAACAACAGAATACCCACACAAACAACAGAATACCCACACAAACAACAGAATACCCACACAAACAACAGAATACCCACACAACACAACAGAATACCCACACAACAACAGAATACCCACACAAACAACAGAATACCCACACAAACAGAATACCCACACAAACAACAGAATACCACACAAACAACAGAATACCCACACAAACAACAGAATACCCACACAAACAACAGAATACCCACACAAACAACAGAATACCCACACAATCAACAGAATACCCACACAAACAGAAATACCCACACAAACAACAGAATACCCACACAAACAGAATACCCACAAACAACAGAATACCCACACAAAAAACGAATACCCACACAAACAGAACAATACCCACACAAACAACAGAACAATACCCACACAAACAACAGAACAATACCCAACAAACAACAGAACAATACCCACACAAACAACAGAATAACCACACAAACAACAGAACAATACCCACACAAACAACAGAATACCCACACAAACAGAACAATACCCACACACAACAGAACAATACCCACACAAACAGAAATAATACCCACACAAACAACAGACAATACCCACACAAACAACAGAACAATACCCACACAACAGAACAATACCCACACAAACAACAGAATACCCACACAAACAACAGAATACCCACCACAAACAGAATACCCACACAACAGAATACCCACACAAAACAACAGAATACCCACACAATCAACAGAATACCCACACAAACAACAGAATCCCCCACACAAACAGAATACCCACACAAACAACAGAACAATACCCACACAAACAACAGAACAATACCCACACAAACAACAGAATAACCACACAAACAACAGAATAACCCACAAACAACAGAACAATACCCACACAAACAACACAATACCCACACAAACAACAGAACAATACCCACACAAACAACAGAACAATACCCACACAAACAACAGAACAATACCCACACAAACAACAGAATACCCACACAAACAACAGAATACCCACACAAACAGAATACCCACACAAACAACAGAATACCCACACAAACAACAGAATACCCACACAAACAGAATACCCACACAAACAACAGAATACCCACACAAACAACAGAATACCCACACAAACAACAGAATACCCACACAAACAACAATACCCACACAAACAGAATACCCACACAAACAACAACAATACCCACACAAACAGAATACCCACACAAACAACAGAACAATACCCACACAAACAGAACAATACCCACACAAACAACAGAACAATACCCACACAAACAGAATACCCACACAAACAACAGAATACCCACACAAACACAGAATACCCACACAAACAACAGAACAATACCCACACAAACAACAGAATACCCACACAAACAACAGAACAATACCCACACAAACAACAGAACAATACCCACACAAACAACAGAAATACCCACACAAACAGAACAATACCCACACAAACAGAACAATACCCACACAAACAACAGAACAATACCCACACAACAACAACAATCCCACACAAACAACAGAACAATACCCACACAACAACAGAACAATACCCACACAAACAACAGAATACCCACACAAACAGAATACCCACACAAACAACAGAATACCCACACAAACAGAATACCCACACAAACAACAGAATACCCACACAAACAACAGAACAATACCCACACAAACAGAACAATACCCACACAACAGAATACTCACACAAACAACAGAACAATACCCACACAAACAACAGATACCCACACAAACAACAGAATAACCCCACACAAACAACAGAACAATAACCACACAAAACAATAGAACAATACCCACACAAACAACAGAACAATACCCACACAATCAGAATACCCACACAAACAGAATACCCACACAAACAGAACAATACCCACACAAACAACAGAATACCCACACAAACAGAAAAATACCCACACAAACAACAGAATACCCACACAAACAACAGAACAATAACCACACAACAGAACAATAACCACACAAACAGAACAATAACCACACAAACAACAAACAATACCCACACAAAATAACAAACAATACCCACCACAAATAACAGAACAATACCACACAAACAACAGAACAATACCCACACAAACAACAGAACAATAACCACACAAAACAGAACAATAACCACACAAACAGAACAATAACCACACAAACAGACAATAACCACACAAACAGAATAACCACACAAACAGAACAATAACCACCAAACAATAACCACACAAACAGAATAACCCACAAACAGAACAATACCCACACAGACAGAACAATAACCACACAAACAGAACAATAACCACACAAACAGAACAATAACCACAAAAAACAGAACAATAACCACTCAAACAGAATAACCACACAAACGAAATAAACCACACAAACAGAATAACCACACAAACAGAACAATAACCACACAAACAGAAGAATACCACGCAAACAACAGAACAATAACCACACAAACATAACAATAACCAAAAACAACAGAATAACCACACAAACAAACAGAAACTCACACAAACATAACCACACAAAACAGAACAAAAACCACACAAACAATAACCACACAAACAGAACAATAATCACGCAAACAGAACAATAACCACACAAACAGAATAACCACACAAACAACAGAACAATAACCACACAAACAGAACAATAACCACACAAACAGAACAATAACCACACAAACAGAATAACCACACAAACAGAATAACCACACAAACAACAGAACAATAATCACACAAACAGAATACCCACACAAACAGAACAATAACCACACAAACAGAACAATAACCACACAAACAGAACAATAACCACACAAACAGAACAATAACCACACAAACAACAGAACAATAACCACACAAACAACCACACAAACAGAACAATAACCACACAAACAGAATAACCACACCAAACATAATACCACACAAACATAATAACCACACAAACAGAACAATAACCACACAAAACAAACAATAACCACACAAACAACAGAACAATAACCACACACAGAACAATAACACAAACAAACAATAACCACACAAACAGAACAATAACCACAAACAAACAAATAACCACACAAACAAAAATAACCACTCAAACAG